ACATATATACACATACATACATATACACACATACATACATACACATTTATATAATTTAGAAAGAGAAGTATATACATATTATATATTGAAAATAATTTAAAAGTTGATATATGAAATATCGTGATAAGTTTTAACAACTTATTTTATTGCAGACTTGGAGGGAAGTAGCTACATTACTATCGGAGAGAATCCGAGATTTAGATGCGGTTTTAACAGAATTTGAAAAATATAAGTTGTACACAGGATTAGACGAGAAAGACGAGATATGCGCCAGCATCGCGAAACGCGGCCAAGCGAGTCTCAGACAAAGTTCCAGAGCCCTTAAATCTCGTGCCCAGCTTACATTAAGGTTTCTAAGTAATTTGAAGAGCTAAAACCACTCGACAATATTTGTACAAAGAGGATCTATCCGTCTATTTAATAATTTTCAAGAACGATTCAAGGATGATTCTGTACATAATTCTTAGTCTTAATCAATTATAAATATTGTATGAATGGTTTAATGCCGATTGAGATACCTCTGAGACTATCTTCATTTGTGAAAAATGAAATCATATAATCTGTTCACATGTTTGCAATTAATATATTGAGTGCCACGCTGCATTTGGAATCTTATTAAGTTACAAAATAAGATCATATAGATCCTATTTTGTAACTTTTAACGGCAGTGTTAAAAGTTACAGAATAGCTCTACAAATTCGAATTTTCTAGCTATCATGTGTTGTCATGTACAGAATCAAATTATTCGATATATTATCAATTGCATGAGTATCTGATTAAACAAAACACTTAGTAAAATAATTTTTAATTGAATAAATATAACCGTCATCCGTAAATTGGTGATAAGGTTTCTGCAGAAACTCGCACCCTATTCAAATATGAAAGTGTGACACTCAATGTGTTAATAAAACAAATGCCATATTCTTTAAATAAAACGTATGAAGGCTGTAAAGTTCAAACTATCGTGGAGTTTACTCTCGAAGTTTCGTACGCCTAAAGGTGTTTAAAATACGCGACTGGCTAATCGATTTAAAGATAGTTTTATCTCATATATTTTTAGTTTTGAGCTTCTTTCCTCTCTTTTTACTATTAAAATAATTTTACACAAGACACTTTAGGAAAAGCCTGTTTCGCGTTTCAGATTTATTCATTCATATCATAAAAGAATTATTCTTCCTTTCCTACAGAGAACGTGTGTGAGCAAAATTCTTTTTAAATATAACGAATATTTTATTATATCTTATAATATTATATACAATATTATATACAATTTTGTAATATTATATATAATATTATAATATACATACACATAATATTCATTTACATCCACCGTTAAAAATATATATTCGTTAACATCGGGATAATCATAAATCATAAAAGAAACGATAAATTGCACATTTTTACATATTATTACGCGCTCTTTTGTATCATCAAAATTTGTTTTTGAGCATATTTTAATTGTATTGGAGGTACCAAAAATATAATGACGTTTTGCGAAAAAATGTAGTTAAAACTTTTATTTGATTACCTAAACCAGGGCTCGAAACGGTTTGCCAATTTCGGCCGATTCTCGGGAGCTACGCCTTCTATCTCCTCCTTGCCGCGCGGTGGATCACAAAAGTGACGGTCGCGGTCAGTCGCGGCTTCAAGCTTGGAGGCTCGACCGTCACTTTTGTGGCCCGCTCGCGGCAATAGAAGGCGTAGCTTCCGAGAATCGGCCGAAATTGGCAAACTGTTCCTAGCCCTGACCTAAACAAAGATTTCATATATCACATACTTGCACAAGGCATGCACAACGTTGTAATAAAAATAATTTACTTACAAAAAGTATTTTTATACATATATTCAATATAGAGATATGTACACACACAACTCTTTATACAATCTTAATATAATTTATTAATCAAATTATCGCTTAAAACTGTCTAATAGTTATTACCTAAAAACTAGTTTTTTATATACATATTCATTATACTGTATATAGATACCTTAATAATATTATATTCTCATTTCAGCTGAGAACTTGTGTGTCTTTGTAATTACTATACCTTATAATTATACTTATAATTATATATAAATTACAATAAGATATTTTGATGCTTCAAGGGGGACGGCAGTCTAATTAAGCAACAACGCGAAGACCTTGAGAATTTGATCAATACTGCTCAGTTTTCTTTTCTTTTAAGAAAATTTTATCACAATGTCGCGACAATGAACTATACAGGGTGTTCAAAAAGTCCCGGACCGGTGAAATATCTCGAA